TCCCACCACCAGAGCCGCTACACACTGACAGAGCCATCGCCACACCCACCACCACCGTATCCACCACCACTCCAAAAACCAACAAACCCAACAAAATTACCTCAACACCATACAAATACACTTCCACACACACTGCACTCACACAAATCAGCACACATCTTCTGGGTGTGGCGATATCGTTACACTTATCGCCGACTAGGGTCGCCACACAGCAAAGCCTCCAACCAGTATCTCCACTACCCACCACATCCACCGCACACAATTAAATTGGTCGCACGCATCCACCTCCATCTCCACCGCACAAAAATCCCCCACCAGATTTTCCCACTACATAGGAGAATACGGCTATACACAGCGGCTCCGACTATGTAGATCAAATCGAGGAGAACGAAATCACCCAAAAAACCAAACTCCCTCCCCAAATTTTCTCTTCTGTCGACGACCAAAAAACCCCAAACCAATCCCTAAATTTTTCTCCCGGCGACGGGTGCAACGTTGGGCAACGACAGATGGCAACATTGTGTTACTTCTTCTAGTGGCGGCGCCTAATCTGAGTCATCTCCCGGTGGGATGGTTAAATGAGGAACAGAGTGAGAATAGATAGAGTTAGACGAGAGAGAAAAGGTAGATTGTAGAGAGAGAAACTTTAGCCCTGATTTAATCGGTTGGAGATTTATTATATTGGTACCTGATTTTTGAATGATGAAATTTCAGCCCTGATTTTTGAATTATGGTCTTTAAACCCTGGTAGTATGTAATTTCCACTAATTGGATTTTGTTAATTTGACTTTAGATCAAACCAAACATATTAGTTTGCATCAAAACCCAACCCACTCCTAGCTCTGGTCATTAATTAGCCATCTATTTAAGAAAATTATTTACGCATTAGAACATTAGTATGTGAGTAAAGAAAATACTTTGTTTGAAACTCAAAGAAGAAAATTCTATTAGGACAAGTTGACTTCTGCTACTATTTTTCCGTATTTTTTTTAATTTTTCTTTTTTTTTTTCTGGGAGATTGAGTTGTGTGTGATATACAGAATTGAATTGAATTTTTTTTTTTTAATGTTCCAAATTTGGTTTTAAAGACCTTTAGAAAAGTTGTTTTCTTGGAAAAAAATGTGTAAAAAATTGGTACGCCATCAACCAAAAGTTCTTCACGAGGGTTTATTCAAAACAAGGAGTTGTACTAAGTGTACAGACATTTCAAGCATTTAAAAGTTGTTATTGCGGAATGTTGACATGATACCTACATGCTAAATTTATTGGACAATTTAACAAAAATCCAACAAACTCATTTGATTCTTCTTTCATTTTGTCATAATCTTCAACAACTCCAATAATTATTGCCAACATAAAACCTAACGAAATTGTAGAGTACCATGTATATTGTGATTTGCTTATAAAGCATAAATTTCTTCAGGGTTAATGAAATGATAAATCATCAATACGTATCTTTGATTACTATTTTTTCACTAAAAAATAAAAATTTATTGGTTACTTACTCGCTTTTACATAACACTACTCATTCATCGTCTATCTACATTCCATTTGTTCATCTAGCAAAAAAATTCTACGCGACGAATGAAAATCCTACGTTGTAGTTAAATGGGTAATTACTAATCTTTACTTGATTACTGTTTGCTCACTAAAAATTAAATAATATTTACCTTTTATTATTGTTTGTTCATTCAAAAATAAAAAGGTTACCATTTCTCATTCATGTTTACACAATGTTACCCATCCATTATCCATCTCAATCTTGTTTTAAATTATTAAATTTGTTTATATGATTTTCATGATTTTTTTTTTTTTAAATTAAGTTGCTCTTTCTATCTTCCTCATTTTTTTTTCTACGTTCTTTTTTATTTTATTTTATTGTCGGATCTATTTATATTAATTTTGTGATTGTGGACATTATCATAACGCAGGATTAAACGATCACCTAACAAGTCTTATGCTTGAAAGGCTCTGTATCCACATTCTGATTTTTCATCATGTCAAGTGGAAAATAATAATTAATTTTATCATAAAAAAAAAACAAATTCAAAAAAATGTAGACGAAAACAATAAGGTAAATAATTTTGGAAAAAGAAAGTCAAACAAATTCCTAGAAGAAACAATTAACGAAAATGAATAAATGGAAAACAATTTGACAAAAATAATATATATTTAAAAAGAAGAAAATTAAAATCATATATATAGATTGGATAGTAAAAAAATGCAAATAATTTCAGAAAAACAATTCATAGTTGATGGAATTCGTAGAAGGAAAAAATTGAAGAAAATAGAGCGACTAAAAGTAATTTGCTATTTTCATAAAATAAAAATTACAAAAATCATATAAATAGATTGAACAATAAAAATCGAAAATAAAATTTGTAGAAGAGAAAAATGAGGAAAATGAGTGAGTTACATAATTTGCAAACTTGTAGATCCAATATTCATCAATTAGAATTCATGTCAAAAAAGAATTGAAATTAGCTAATGACTATCCATTCTCCACAATGTGGAAAGCTTTTACTTTTATACATAGACAAAAACTAACTATGTCTGGATCATATTATATTCTCAATGCAAAGATTTTGAGAAAAGTCCCCTAGTTTTCTTCGTCTCTAGATCACATAGTTCCTCGGAAGATTGCTTGGAATCATTAAGCAATTTTCTTCTTGAAGAATACTTCATCTTTGGCTTATGTTTCCTTTTTTCTTTTTGCAAGGGACCATAAGAGTATCAATTAATACCTTGAGAAACTATTAACAGCTATGTGCTCATTCTATTCTACAAATTTCTAGAATTTATAACTGGCAGATGAAAAATGAAAAAAGGTAACCAAGAGGTCGGTGGTCAATGCAGTGACTGCACCACGTCAGAGCATGTGGAGCATTTGCAAGAGCAGAAAAATGCTTTTTAGAGTGGGAGAGAATTTGGTTATTGGCTAACAGCGCTTTCATTATCTTCTATTTGCTTGAATTTGTTGGACCCATATTCTATCCAGCAATCAAAAGATATTCTTGCTAGAAAGCATAAACATTTAAAACGACCACCTTCGAGTACTACATAAACACCAATCAACATACTCTAGTCTGACTATAACATAAAAATTGCTAGATGCAATGTGTCACTATTTAAGATATGGTTATGTCTACTTGTCACATAGTCACGAATCGAACCTCACCAATGAAGCTTAGCTGACTTAATTTTTACAACCCAAATTGATTTAAATACTATGAGCAGAAAATATAAATCAACACGCATTTTTGTATTTTCATTTCTGCAAGTCACATGCTGACACGTAATTACAGTTTATAAATAAGTAAATTCAGAAAACTCGCAAAAAAATTAGTTTAATATGTACTCAAAAGAACGTGCAGGATAAATCACAACCAAAATATAAATACATCACCAAGTTAGGGTTATAGCTACATAAACTTTACTAAGCCAACAAGTAAATCAAATTTTTCAGAATATAATCTAAAATTAGTAGGTACTAAAGCAAACACATGCTTTGACAATGTCGTCAGTTGATTGTGCCTCTGCCACATCAGACAATTTCGCACTGATATATGAGGCGGAATACTTCCCATCTATAATATCGTATTCCCCCAATACCCAACAAACGACCTGTAGCATAAAGCTTACAAGATTTGTTTCTGTAATAGAGTAAGCCCATGCGAAAAGAAAATATGTATTTATTGAGGAAGAAGTTATGAAAATACTTTTGAGGTGTAATAAACAATATTTGTTATATGTTCTAGGTCAATAAGACGGCAATGCCTCTTTAGGAAAAAGCACACAACAAGGTACACATTTCACAAATGCAAAGCACATGTTATTTCTGATATGAAAATTCTTCATATGTGCATGATTTTATTATTTAAGCTAAGGTATGAAATGAGTTTCAGCCACTTAACAACATCAGTCATTGTGCATAAATGCTCTATACGATAAAGCAATAAAACAATGTGAAATAAAATAACAAATAGGTAGGACAACCAAGGACAATTCAATGGTTTTATTTAATAATTTCTGAATTATATATATATTTAACCAGCTGATCCAATTTCAACACCTTAACTACCACGAGGAAGGGTAGGGAATTGATCATATTTCAACTGTAAAAATCGACTACTATATTATTTTTCCTTCCCCAGAAACTATATCATAACTTCAATTGTACCTACATGATTTATAGACCTCCACGATCTATTGTAGAGAGTTCAGACATTGCTGAATCTTAGAGGATGATCCATGTGACGGTTTCTGTGTTTTCTTCTGTACTTATTAATTTTTCAAATGGTTATTGTCATCTTATATTATCCTGATACCTCCATGAGAACATACACTCTTTCCTTTTAAAAATAATATATTGATCTTAACATATTTCTTTACCAGATATCTTAAAGGAAAAAAGAAATACATGTAAAGTATCTCGATGTGTTTAGAGCACAATAATTACCTGTTGAAAAATGACATCTCTTCAGTGGTGTGTCTATAATAATCACTGCTAATTATTAAATATCACATGAAAGCACCAAATAATTCCTAAAAGGAAATTGAACGTAAGTTATACAATCGGTCCACTATATCTAGCTTGACTGAGATGGACCAGGCAAAATTCAGAGCTTATGATCGTAAAGTCTAACCCCATTTATTATTGAAAAGAAATAGGCTACATAATAAAATGAATAAATGAGTAGATATATGTATTTTCTTGAAAAGAATGAGTAGATATCTGGTAGAATCGAAGTCAGTCTGGAGCGGGAGAAACTTCTACAGCAAATTCAGACTAAACTCGATCACTTGGCCAAGCAGAATCCAGAGCTTATGATCGTAAAGTCTGACCCCATTTATTATTGAAAAGAAATAGGCTACATAATAAAATGAATAAACGAGTAGATATATGTATTTTCTTGAAAAGAATGACTAGATATCTAGAAGAATCAGGTACAAAACGATAGCACATCCATGGTAAAAACCTATCGTGTTGGAGTTTCCATTCAATTCTGATCCAACATTTCTGATGCCTGTGGCAAGCAGTGAACCAACGAGGTGTGCGCAACTTCATCTAACTTTAGTCCTCTATGGGATATGTGATCCCACAAGTTAAAAGCTTCTTTTACTTTTCCTTTATTGCAAAACCCGTTTGTCAATGTATTATATGTAACTGAATCTGGATCCATTCCTTTGCCAATCATTTCGCTCAGAAGCTTATTTCGTATGATCCAACTTGAATAGCCATCAATAACAACTGCGTATGTTATCTTATTTGGTTGTACATTGCATGACAACCTTTCCTGAAAGAGACTCTTTATTTCATCTATCTGACCTAGCTTATAGAAATCACGTATAAGTGCAGTATAACAGAAAACATCAGGTTGCAAACCTTCATTTTTCATTTCATCCATAAGATGTTTTGACCCATCAACAGGTTCCACGTATTAGAAAAGAATAGGTGGGACACGAAGATGAAATGCCTTTGCTTCTCATTTCATCACGAAGTTTAAGGGCTTCTATCCTGTTTCCTTTCATAGAGTACGCCTTAATAAGTATATTATATACAACAAAATTTGGTTCAATGTTATGTCTGAGCAACATCTTGAAGAAACTGGTAGCCTCCAAATCTTCCTTAGCATTGTAGAAACCATCTATCATGAATGTTGGAAATAAGATCATTTCTTTGGCATTCATGCCAAAGTGCAACAGCTTCATCCAGTTTATGTTTACTACACAGCCCATGCATCAGCAAAGTGTACGTAATAATATCAGGAGAAATTCCTTGCTTAACCATATCTTCCTTGAGATTAAAGCCTCTCCAATTTATCCTCTTTGCAGCATCCATAAATGAGTGCATTATATGTAACGATCCAATCCCACACCGCTATTTAACATATTTTTTAGTAGCATTTTAGTTTTTTGTATGTTGCCTACCTCCAGAGTCCACATATAAGTGCATTTGAGGTCACTGTATTGGCTGCAATCCCTAAATCTAGTAGCATATATCATAGCTCCAAAACTTCTGAATGCTTACTATTCTTGCAACACCTATGGATTAATGTTGTTAGCAACCTATCATTTGGCCTCAAAATCCCAGTTACCATTAACCTAGTGAAATGCAATGCGGAGTCTAATCTTGAATACTTACACAAACCATGAATAACAAAACCAAATGTACCTGGGTTTATACATTAGACTTTCGATACCAATTCATGCTAGATCAATTTGATTATCCATATAGAGACCATTAAGAAGTGTATTAAAAGCAATGTTTTAAAAATCGGACGGCCAGTTCAACCTAAAAAATTGGGAACCGGTCCGGTTTGATTTTAAAACCCTGTAGCTTAAAAACCGCATAGGATCCTGTCGGGCCGACTGGGTTATATGAAAACCGCCACGCTCTACCGATTTATAAGGAACCCGTGCAATTTAAACCCATATTTTTCAATTTCCACTTTCATTTCAATTCAAGCAGGCTTCCAATTTCTCTCTTCTTCCGTGGGCCGCATCCATGGATTGAATAGATTCCAAGTTTCTCTCCTCTACAGGTTTTCAATTTCTATCCTGCTCAAGATTTAAAGTTTCCAAGCAAGTTTATAGCTTCTAATTAAACACCGTGATTTTGATTGTATTCTTTTTTTCCCATAAAGATATTGTTGACACATAAAAATTCAGCCCAAGTCGAACAGCTCAAGGAGTAAAGCCCAATTGGAGAATCCCCAAAACAGACAGCCCAAAGAATGAAGTTCAATCAAACGAGTCAAGGTGAAGGCCCAAACAAGAGGCCCAAGAATGCGGTAATGCCATCGCCCAAGTTTGCAAGTCGCTCAGAATCTGAACGAACGGGTGTCATACGGTCGCCCAGAGCTGTTATTCTACTCTCGCCCAAACCTTCAAGTCGCCTAAGGTGTCAACAAACATAACGCATCGTAATTATCAAGGAATGCAGTTATCAAGGCAGTTGTTAAAGCAGCCTTATCACGTTCCACAACTCAAGGAAGTCAATCGAAGGCAGTTGGACGATGAAAGATAATGACAGCAGTTAAAAGGCGGTTTCATGACAAAATGGCCACTACAAAGAAAGTGGGTAGTTATAGGACGATCAAGCAGTTTTCAGAGTAGTTAATCACAAAGAGATCGTCTATGAGGTATAAAAGGGAGAAAAGGCGTAGAAGCAAAGAGACCGAATCCAAAACTCTCGAACAAGAGAATATGTAATTTTCATTTCTTTAGCTTTTAGACTTAAACACT